ATTTAACATTTTTCTCTTGTTTATGAAACTCCTCATTCGTGAACCACGTCACTTGGAGAAGTAAGGAATGGCGTTTTGTTTTATTGATGACGAGACTAGACTAAGCATACCGATATGGACTATGTGTAATTTGTCACTCGCACCATCGTAAGTGTCGCGAGAACTTGTACCCAGTAGGGCATATATTGTCCTGGACCTCCCGCGCTGCCTCCCCGTGGCACAGTGTATGAGCGCGTACTCTTACGCACGTAGGACCCGCCGATGTACGACGGATTTAGACAGTTTATCATGTCATTTATTATTTAGTTTTGGTGAAAACTTACCGATTTACTCGATTGTTAACATCGCCCTAAAGCCATGTTGTATTTAAAATTCTTATTGTCATTTCACTTTGAAATCAAACGATAGTTTAATTATTCGCTGGAAACGATGTCCTGATGTCTGCGAAATTGATCTTTGATGTCGTAAATGAGAACAATTTCTAGAACCACTGGGTACGTACATGCACCGCCATTTTGTCATGGTAGGTACACGTGACCGGAAGGTGAGGTAAAGGTTGTTACTTTCATGGAAGGAATGAAAATCAGATACCGCGAAAAATTTAATCAAAATAAAAAAAATAAAGCTCATTTCCTGACTTCCGTGAACACTATATATATATTTACTTTAAGATTGAACGAGTTTGTATCTTCCTCAATAAACAGTTGGTTACCTTGACAACGGAACGACAAAGGTAAAACCGAACCAACTGGCCGCCTCCTGTATCTAAAGACTGGTCGTAGTATGGAAGAATATTGTTTTATTTGAACCGTTGCTGAAATAATTATCAAATGCTGTCGTCATTGTATTTTCTTTTTTATCAGTCGAACAAAGGTGCATCTGAGTAAAATCACATCCACCTTCGTCAATATCGCCCTGGTATATTAGATAGTGTTGTCTGTTATCGACCTAAGGCCTATACGATGTTGAAACTAGACTTTGTTATTTGACATGGAGTTCCGTATCTATTGCAATATTTCTTTTCCCCAGGCAGGAGCTGGTAATACGAAATTGATGCTCATTTATTCAATTCGATTCCTCAAATGTAAATACAATCGTTCGATTAAAATCGGATTTCTGTATGTGCGTACAGTATTAACGAAATATTGGTGCTGTGTCAGGTCATGAATCAAATCAAAATCCGGCTCTATGAACAGAAGTGGAATCTCTGGCGACGCTCTGTCGACAGAGAAAACATTGCTTTCGTGATTTATGGTTGATATTTGGACATGGAATGATGAAGATTGAACTTGCGATGAAAGCATGTTATACATGAAAGTCCGTCTGTATTGTCGGCCATTTTTCATGAGGCCACGTGGTGAGAGTTGCGCTCGTGACCTCTGCTCCCATGGCAATCCATATGCTGTGATCATTTCGCATGACTTAACAAGAAAATAGGGTTGTCCCGTCAGAAAAATACTTCATAAATAACCTAAGTGCTGAAGACTGTGTCTTCTAGCACTGAAACATCCGACATGTATCAAATCGTCTCCAGGGCTAGATCAGAAAGCTCCCTCTTTTCTGTTCCCAAATTAACCAATTGAGGGCAGCAGATGGGTTTTTTTATTTCCTTAGAGAAGAGTAAGCCGATGATTTCGTCTATTTCCATACCTTTCCAATGACATGTAAATGTGTCTTTTCTCCTCCTAATCCCCAATCAACGCGAGCCGGGTCGCCATTTGTTTACATAAAAGTTTAGATTGAATTCGGTAACGTGTCTATAAATTGAATAACGTTTTCATTAGTCTTAAGTTATTTGCCTGAAATTGTGTCTTGACGGAAAGCAAGAGTGCCCCAGTAGAGGCTTCTTACACGGTCAGAAATCAATAGTATCCCCACGCCCCTCCCTATCCTTACACGGTATGGTAACGCCATGCCATCAACGTTCGTTGAAGAGTATCTATTATCGAATTAGAGTTGTAGAATTTGGTTGGAAACGACATTTTTTTTGTTTCAGTAGATTTCTACAAGTAGAGTATTGCAGAAGACTGACTTACATTTGATATTAAAAATTGTAAAGCGTTTAGTTAACATTTCTGATATATGCCCAGGAGAAGCCGTCCAGTCCTTCTAGCAGGGACGTTACAAGATCCAACTGGAAGAACGTGCCCTATAATATTCGATCAAATTATTTATAAAACAACAAATCAATTTTCCTTTTGATTTTCAAACTGAAGAACTAAAGAAGTCGAATTGAAGAAATTTAAATATTGAAGAGGAACTTTTGATCCTGCTTATTACTATAAAATTGTAGGAATTAAAACATTGACTGAACATAGCTGGTGACGAGAAGGGAGTTAACTCTTGGCCAAGAGTTGCTCCCATTTTACAAGTAAATGGACTAATGTCAGGAACCTGATCGCCATTGCAATTACTTTAGTTCATTTACCTGTGACGAAAAAAGTGTTTCTAGTTCATACGGTTTAAAAAATATATATGCTGATTATTAGACACAACAGTGTAGGGAAGTGTGTGTGACATTGTACGTACATCTTCCTACAGAACCGAAACTTACCTACATCAACACTCAAATTTGTTCCTGTGCCAATCAGTGTTATTGTGTAATTACAGATGGTGTCGTGTAAACTTCTCATTGATTTAATTCAGGTTTGATGTCCATCAGAGTCTTATCACGACAGACCTGGTGACACCATCCCCACATCTACCGTACTGAACACGACTCTACTGCTGTATTTAACGTGACAAATGTCATCTTCATTTCCATATTAATGGTTTTATGTAAATAATTCCATACCGTTATCTGTTTTTAATATTTGCACATGTCTGGTATGTAAATTTCAAGGATACTGCCGCGCGTCAAGGTCACAATGTTATCTGGAAATCTAGCGGTTTTAGGGTACACCATACACACGAAGTCTTATGCGTATCTCCGGGTCGTTACGCCAGGTTACGTAAGTTACGTGTTGGGTACATGTATCTGGAGATTATCAAGTTTGGTTACGTAAGTTGTGTGTTGGGTACATGTATCTCGACGTTATTAGGTCTGGTTACGTAAGTTGTGTGTTGGGTACATGTATCTCGACGTTATTAGGTCTGGTTACGTAAGTTGTGTGTTGGGTACATGTATCTCGAAGTTATAAGATTTGGTAACGTAAGTTGTGTGTTGGGTACATGTATCTCGAGATTCTCAGGTTTGGTTACGTACGTTGTGTGTTTGATATTTGCATGTGTCATACATAAAAGCGAAACGTACAGAGAGTGTAGCATTGGTTAAATTATTTCATATGTATTTATGGAGGAATCGGACTAAAACGAGGCGTATTTATATTTCAATTTGTCGTCGCATTTTTAAAATATAGTACAATGCATTTATTATAATTTCATTCGTTAATGAAGAAAATCAAAATGCGATGACAAAATTCCAAAGTTGAATTGAAGTATTGATTGGATACTATACCGCATTTTCGTCTGCATTAAGCCTACCGTGTTACTCTCACAGACACTAATAATTGTGTTTGTGTCTATTCAATTACTGGACGGGTTTTACGTCCAGTATTACGACATTTCGGCCGTGTATCGGACAAGCGTGTTAAGATATAGTTCTATTTTAAATTCAGAAGCAAAATTGCTCCTCTTGTATCGGGATAATTGCATAGTCAAAACATAATCTATAAACCATATACAGTTTAAAAGTGAAAAATGAATTTAATTGTATATCCTGGTATCAATCGATGAAATGATAATTCGTCGTCACCAATAAAAGCCAGATTTAGCGTGCTCTCTTCATGAAACAGCTGATTGGGCGAGACTTTCCCTCAATAAAGTACTGCTTACACTTTCTGCACCATCCAAAGGTAAAGACAACACATGGGAAGGGAAGTTACTCAGTCTAGTTGTTGATTTTAATTTCCTAACAATAGTCTTTGGAGAGCTCTCCGGTCGCGCGGCTGAAAGTTTCGCTCTTATCATGGTATTCCCCTCCGCCAAAAAAAAAAAACAACAAAAAAAACCAAAAAAACAAAACAACAAAAAATCACACGATCTCACCAAATTCTTCCTAGAAGATATTTAAATGTAGTTAAGTAGTTAAATCTGAAATGTATATCACGATTATTTTTGTTATACAACTGGTTGATATACATACAAAGTAGGAGGGATTTATGTAAAAAAAAATACATATCTTAACAGGGATTTTGTGAGATGGGATCATTCTACACGCAGATTGTTCAATATATTTCTTACACTAGGGTAATATTATTATGTATGTAGTCGTCGCCGTCATTATAGGGTTAGCATATTAAATAAGAAATAACAGATGGCTCTGTGTTGAAATGATTTTATAAAATTTTCATTTCACATTTCAGCTTTATTGCCTTTTAATCGGTGTAATGTATAAAGGGATAGTATTACAATTACAATAAGAAAGCTCCCCATGTACATCTAGTCATCGTAAACTGAACACGTGCTTCACAGACAGCAATACAAATAGTAAAAAGTTAACTAAAACCAGAGTGAAATGCACGAGTAACATTCCTCTACTTTATAGCTTTTATTTTTTTCTTCTGAATTTAACTTCAAACAAAGGACTTTTATTAATAAATGACATGCCAATATGTCGTATTGTGATTGTGTGATTCCTCAAGGGCTGAGAAACGGACCAGTCTGTGTTCCCATGGACTAGAAACATTATTGCTCTGGATGGGATGCAACAGTCCTCCTGTAGGTTGTCAAGCAAGGTAGTCCCAGCTCAGAATGATAATATTTTTACGGGTTGATGAACCCAGGAAAACCTCGGAAACCTTAGCAATGACAATACAGACATCGGTATATTTAACAAATAACGGAAGTACCAAGTGCATAAGGTAACACACAGTCAAACTTTTGGAAATAACAGAATTAGTGATGTCTATGCTGTAACATGTCAAATTTAAAAGCCGTGTAATTGACGTGCATTATGATACATTTCTCGTCACGACAGCTTTATTGGACGGTGAAAGGATATGGAACGAACTACTGGAGAGAAGGAGTTGTTGGAGCGGTACAATAATGTAGAGGGGCCACGTCAAGTCAATGTGTGGTGTTTCTGGGGACCCAGCAGTCACGTCAAGACAGGCAATTTTTGAAAAGACGTCACAGAATACTTGAATTAGATAATGTACATGTAAACAGTCCGTCTCTTAACCCAACTTACCTCAAATACGGATACCCAGTAACACACTTCAAATATATACATGTAAACGTTTCTCTGCAAAACACAAAAAGTGCTTCAGTGAATCACATCTAGACTGATCATCAACCAAAAAACTACTTTCTTTGGCCTATGTAGACTCGTCAAGCGCAGAGTGACATGTAATCGGGAGCACGCGATGTCACGTGATACACAGTGTTGTCACAGCCCGTTCGTGAGGAGACTATTAAGTTGCCGAAGACTGATTTTAACCATGCTAATATTGGCAGGATTTAACGTGTCGGAGCATTCTGACAGACAGAGCGCATTGATATTGAAGTAATTTGATACAATTATCACAGGTACTATTTTTTTTGTGTATTCTTCCGCAAAATTCAAATTGAAACATGGCTATAGGTTTGTTTGGTACAAGCCGATATCTTAAATTTTCAACTTCTAAAGAATATTTAAGCTATGAAAATACACTGGATGATATAGAGATAGGGTTGAATTACACACTAGGAACACATAAAAATACGGTAAGAAATAATGATGTAGTTCCGAATTAAGATTTTTTTTTGTATATCTAGTAATTATAGTTAGTAATAGCAGATATCTGGTCAACTCCTTTGTATATAATGGGGGTCTAGTCAACTTCTAACAACCAGGGCCTGGTAATAATTCTTTGTCAAGCAACTATAGGCCAGCTGGTAACCATCCTTTGTCAACCAATAGTAGGCCAGCTGGTAACCATCCTTTGTCAACCAATAATAGGCCAGCCGTTAACAATCCTTTGTCAACCAATAATAGGCCAGCTGGTAACCATCCTTTGTCAACCAATAATAGGCCAGCTGGTAACCATCCTTTGTCAACCAATAATAGGCCAGCTGGTAACCATCCTTTGTCAACCAATAATAGGCCAGCTGGTAACCATCCTTTGTCAACCAATAATAGGCCAGCTGGTAACCATCCTTTGTCAACCAATAATAGGCCAGCTGGTAACCATCCTTTGTCAACCAATAATAGGCCAGCTGGTAACAATCCTTTGTCAACCAATAATAGACCAGCTGGTAACAATCCTTTGTCAACCAATAATAGGCCAGCTGGTTACCATCCTTTGTCAACCAATAATAGGCCAGCTGTTAACAATCCTTTGTCAACCAATAATAGGCCAGCTGGTAACCATCCTTTGTCAACCAATAATAGGCCAGCTGGTAACCATCCTTTGTCAACCAATAACAGGCCAGCTGGTAACCATCATTTGTCAACCAATAATAGGCCAGCTGGTAACAATCCTTTGTCAACCAATAATAGGCCAGCTGGCAACAATCCTTTGTCAACCAATAATAGGCCAGCTGTTAACAATCCTTTGTCAACCAATAATAGGCCAGCTGTTAACAATCCTTTGTCAACCAATAACAGGCCAGCTGGTAACCATCATTTGTCAACCAATAATAGGCCAGCTGTTAACAATCCTTTGTCAACCAATAATAAGCCAGCTGGTAACCATCCTTTGTCAACCAATAATAGGCCAGCTGGTAACAATCCTTTGTCAACCAATAATAGGCCAGCTGGTAACCATCCTTTGTCAACCAATAATAGGCCAGCTGGTAACCATCCTTTGTCAACCAATAATAGGCCAGCTGGTAACCATCCTTTGTCAACCAATAACAGGCCAGCTGGTAACCATCCTTTGTCAACCAATAATAGGCCAGCTGGTAACAATCCTTTGTCAACCAATAATAGACCAGCTGGTAACAATCCTTTGTCAACCAATAATAGACCAGCTGGTAACAATCCTTTGTCAACCAATAATAGGCCAGCTGGTTACCATCCTTTGTCAACCAATAATAGGCCAGCTGTTAACAATCCGTTGTCAACCAATAATAGGCCAGCTGGTAACAATCCTTTGTCAACCAATAATAGGCCAGCTGGCAACAATCCTTTGTCAACCAATAATAGGCCAGCTGTTAACAATCCTTTGTCAACCAATAATAGGCCAGCTGTTAACAATCCTTTGTCAACCAATAACAGGCCAGCTGGTAACCATCATTTGTCAACCAATAATAGGCCAGCTGTTAACAATCCTTTGTCAACCAATAATAAGCCAGCTGGTAACCATCCTTTGTCAACCAATAATAGGCCAGCTGGTAACAATCCTTTGTCAACCAATAATAGGCCAGCTGGTAACCATCCTTTGTCAACCAATAATAGGCCAGCTGGTAACCATCCTTTGTCAACCAATAATAGGCCAGCTGGTAACCATCCTTTGTCAACCAATAACAGGCCAGCTGGTAACCATCCTTTGTCAACCAATAATAGGCCAGCTGGTAACAATCCTTTGTCAACCAATAATAGACCAGCTGGTAACAATCCTTTGTCAACCAATAATAGACCAGCTGGTAACAATCCTTTGTCAACCAATAATAGGCCAGCTGGTTACCATCCTTTGTCAACCAATAATAGGCCAGCTGTTAACAATCCGTTGTCAACCAATAATAGGCCAGCTGGTAACCATCCTTTGTCAACCAATAATAGGCCAGCTGGTAACAATCCTTTGTCAACCAATAACAGGCCAGCTGGTAACCATCCTTTGTCAACCAATAATAGGCCAGCTGTTAACAATCCTTTGTCAACCAATAATAGGCCAGCTGGTAACCATCCTTTGTCAACCAATAATAGGCCAGCTGGTAACCATCCTTTGTCAACCAATAACAGGCCAGCTGGTAACCATCCTTTGTCAACCAATAATAGGCCAGCTGGTAACAATCCTTTGTCAACTAATAATAGGCCAGCTGGCAACAATCCTTTGTCAACCAATAATAGGCCAGCTGTTAACAATCCTTTGTCAACCAATAATAGGCCAGCTGTTAACAATCCTTTGTCAACCAATAACAGGCCAGCTGGTAACCATCCTTTGTCAACCAATAATAGGCCAGCTGGTAACCATCCTTTGTCAACCAATAATAGGCCAGCTGGTAACCATCCTTTGTCAACCAATAATAGGCCAGCTGGTTACCATCCTTTGTCAACCAATAATAAGCCAGCTGGTAACCATCATTTGTCAACCAATAATAGGCCAGCTGGTAACCATCCTTTGTCAACCAATAACAGGCCAGCTGTTAACCATCCTTTGTCAACCAATAACAGGCCAGCTGGTAATTCTAAAATGTGGCTAACTTATCGTCGTTTCCGGCGGAACATTTTCTGTGCTTTGATTAAATTGCCAGCTAATCAACAGATACCACTAATTACATCTCCACCGAGAGATGGAGACAACCTTGTGGATCAACACAATTAAATCTTGAGTCACTTAATCGCTAATGATTTTTACCTTCTAATTAAATCTGTCATTTTGAAATATTTCAAAATTTTTATTAACGTCGTAAAGCAGTAATGCTATTATTAACGGTTTCTGTTTCATAGGGTTTGTTTTGAATACACACACTTTCCGTTTAGCAAACCACTTCTACCTCGCCACTATTTCAGGTGTCCTGTGTTTGTTTACCGTATCTGGTGAAACCGGATACCGGTAATAACAAGCTGACGAAGGCTGGCTTCATTAAAGTGTTCACGGAAGATTGAACCCCTAATGTCGCCCAGGGATTCACTTGACCTTGCATAAAGTATGACACTAATTAGACTTATGAATTAGTATGGAAGGAAAAACTTCTTTCTAATGTTACGGAAACATCGTGTGAATTAGATGTGTTTTAAATGAAGGATTCAAACTTGAGATCAGTACAGAACATTCTGTGTTTTTGAAATTACTCCGAGTGATTGAAAATTAATCACTAGGGGAGCCTGGGTAATGAAAAGGCATGCCGACACACGTGTACATTAGTAATGTGTATGATACAAACAGTGTTACTATCAAAGTGCAGACGGTGATTAGCTTGAGTATGACGTCTTGCCGTTCAGTTGAGGTCAATTCAATGTCAAAGTGACGTCACTACATGGACATGTCACATCCAAGAGAGCAGAGTATAACGATGTGAAATAGAATCTCGCTTAAATATCAATTCCAAATTGAGAAATTCACTGTACCTAATTCCTACTTTGACGGTAAATATGCTAACTATAAGAAAAGTCTTATCTGTGTGATTGCTTGATTAAATGATTGTTCGTTTGTATTGCTACACAAACTGCAACGTCACAAAGTGATTGTTTCCAAGCACAAGTTAGCATTTTTTTAAAACAAAAGGCCAACGTGACGGAGGTGTCACAATAGTTCTCGTGAAACATCGCGAGGGATATGAACATCTGACAGACACGCGCAGAACGTCGGACCGTATTAATGTTGAGGTGTCAAACTAACGGATTTAGAATTCGTCAGTGTTCTGTTTCCGAGACACTTCAGATCTTCTCTCATCAAACCTGAAGGTTCTCGTTTTAACTTAAACCTGCCACACTAGGGGAGCGGATTATCGACATTCAGGGTTACAATGCTGATGTAGGACAATTCTCTTTAAACGATATCAGATACATATACTTGTTAACAGTACATCGACAATAGCGTGAAACTGATATTTACAGATTTCGTAAAAAAAGTAGATGACGAACTATGTATTATCATACAGTAACGCGCACGACAGACAAAAAAGGGATACATTTTGAATAGTGAGTTAGGACACCAGGATATCGCGTATGCTTAGATACAAAAAATTTCTCCCAATAAGTAGAGATATTTATATGTTTGCTTTACATATGTTTAACGGATAGATTTCATATCAATGTTAGTACCAATTTGTTTCACGAGCAATCCATGTTCACGTCAATTACCCCCGCCCCCACCTTACGTGAGTACGTTCTGGGATTGTCCTTTGAGGCTTGTCTACATTTTTGTGTACCTTTCCCGACATAAGAATTGGCTATCCCTACATTCGACTGTATATTTCATAATGTCGAACTTTGCCACCCTTAAAGAAATTTCAGAAAATCATATTGTGCTCCAGAATTGGGGAACAACCTCGTTTCTCCAATCTTTGAAGACAAAGCGATGTACTGGTTTTTATCATTTCAATTTTATTTCTTCTTTTAAGTACTTTTCAACCCTTACGTAATTTCAGTTAACGTGCTCCTGAATATGTACGCCATTTTGGTAAAACCAAATGCTGTTTCAACCCAGCCTACAATACCACTCTGTTTAATTCCGCCTCCCTTGTTTGGAGCCTCGTCGTTGTTGGTGCCAATCCATTTATATAACTGGGTAAGATATAGGGTGTTCTAATATTTCTGCTCTTCCATCCTGATCAATCTGCTGTATACAAATCGGTGTATTTTACAATGCGCGTGAGCTCTGCTTCGTGCCCGCACGCTACGTGTAGTCGTAATTATCGAGACACTGGCACTCTCCCTCGGCTTCCTCACGGCTTTCACATAATACGGGCTGGTTTAAATTGAATGCATGCACGTTTTCTGAGATCCCCTGCCCGTGCGAGTTGTAAAAACAATTTTTCAAAAATGATGGAAGTTGGTGAAGCTTTTGCATGTAAATATGTTTGATTTCGATTCTCACAATTGACATTTAGAAGTTGACATCTGCCACGGTACCATCGTGATTGTGTCTAGGAATTCTCTCAGGAAGTCAAACACACCCCTCTCTAACGGCATTCCATGCCATATATCCACCAGAACGACTCGTCTAGGTAACCTTACATAGCTTTTCATCTGCTTTAGAGAAACCACAGTGCAATACGATATCCGCAATATAGTACTTTATTTGATGTAAAAAAATAGCTCCAAAAGATGATTTTGTATTGGTGTGGAATGTTACCGCTTCTTATATCTATTTTAATTTTGTTTGTGTCTTCTTTTACATTTTCACATAATCTAGGTACGCAAGTGTTAGTACACTCCATCCTGGTCATTTGTCTGGTAATGGCGATAACCGTGTGGTCATCTAAACGTCACGCTCTAATTTTCTACTGGTTGTGGTATATAAACTATAAGGTGACCGTGTAGTCATCGAAACGTCACACTATAATCTTCTATTGGTTGTGTTATAAGATGAAGGTTACCGTGTAGTCATCGAAACGTCACACTCTAACCTTCTACTGGTTGTGTTATAAGATGAAGGTTACCGTGTAGTCATCGAAACGTCACACTCTAACCTTCTACTGGTTGTGTTATAAGATGAAGGTTACCGTGTAGTCATCGAAACGTCACACTCTAACCTTCTACTGGTTGTGTTATAAGATGAAGGTTACCGTGTAGTCATCGAAACGTCACACTCTAACCTTCTACTGGTTGTGTTATAAGATGAAGGTTACCGTGTAGTCATCGAAGCGTCACACTCTAACCTTCTACTGGTTGTGTTATAAGATGAAGGTTACCGTGTAGTCATCGAAACGTCACACTATAATCTTCTACTGGTTGTGTTATATGATGAAGGTTACCGTGTAGTCATCGATACGTCACACTATAATCTTCTACTTGTTGTGTTATATGAATTTCTATTCTATTGACATTACCAACCTTTGACCTTACCAACCTTTGACATTACCAACATGGAGAAAATGCTCCAAAATTCTTGTGAGACACCCAACCTTCCATCTACAGTCTTTCGTCCAACCTCACTTCCACACTTTTGCTAGGAAGTGTTTCCAACTCCCACTGCAATGTTGCGAATTATTGTTTCGACAACTTCAAATCTGCAGTCATGTAAGCTACTATTTCACCAAACTTGTGGATCAATGTTTCGCCAAACTTCCCCACTTTAAACTCATGAGTCAATAATTTGCTTCACCTACTTGTAACCTACTACCACTTCAATGCTACGTCGTATTGTAGAGTGCCCATTGCTTCTGTTCTTAACTCTCTGTAACATCCCAAGTGGGTCAATACTAATTATGCTATTCTCTTTTCCTCCATACCCGTTGTGAGCCCCGCTGTTTAATCAGTGTCCGTCGCTGTCAGTCCATGTCACTTCTGAGGGTTTGGCCGTTTCAATTAGAGAGCGAGGCTTACTTGGACATTCGTCACAATTATATCTCCAGAACGAGGCTATTAAACCGTCAATTATATTGAAAATGCTTTTCTTCCACGAGCCTGTTAGTGAGAATCAATAGTATTAAATCAAATATCTATCAAACTATGTTAGCGACGGCACAGAAAATTAATAAAAGCAATATTAGTGTCCCCGAAAATGAGATTTAATTCTTCCGACCATCAACCTAATCTCGGCAACAGAATACAAATATCTACGATTAAAACAGACAACGCCATGTTGATTGGATTATTTCTTACCAATGTCCACGATTCGTTGCCTCTGCTGTAGTTTTTTCATCAGAAGGTAAATGTATCATCCAGCTTGGATGTTCGTAGCCAACGCACACACATTAAAAGCCCATAACGTCATTCCTTCGTGACTATAGGACAATGGCAGAGGAGCTGGAGATTTTATTTTTTGTCTTTTATGATATAACATTTTTATTCCCTCGGTCTAAATTTTATGTGTTTGGGGTGGAAGGCCTTGAATCAATATCCTTAGTTCAAACAAAAGGCGAGAGGTCCTCCTCCACCAAAGGAAACAAGTAAAGGTTTGATGGCGAATGACATGGATTCTCAAACTAGCTGTGCGCATGTTAATCCATTTTAGGATTGTAATACACTCAGTGATTTTATCATACAACATACGGGCTTGTCAATCACAGCATATAACCATAAGGGTATGTCCTACGGCCGGTGAGATTTTTGGTATAACTGATATGAATGTGTTATACAGCGGGTAGGTCTGTCACGTTAGGTGTTTGTAAGCAGCTGTATTATATCGATTCCGACGGTTCGAAACAATCATGTGACGTCGTTTGTCAATGACGTCACTATGTGCCGAGTGACTAACGGTAGTATTCTGATGACATGGACGTAATACTGAACGGCAGAAATGTGATATAAACTAGGAATGTTTGCAATACAGCAAATATTTAGAGTAGGTGTTTATTGTACCAAACACCTAGTATTTTGTGATAATGCGTTTGTATCAGTTGTATGCATTGCAATATTTTTGTTATACGCTGCCACTGGATGTAATGAAACAATCTCGTGTCCTTATACATTGTTTTCCCTCTGTTTGCGAGTGCGTGTGTGTTTGCTTTACTTACCGGCATGCCTAACATTTTCTGTAGTCAGTATGATCACCTAGGTTGTGAGAACACAGAAAGAAAATTGGAAAAGAAACCCATCTCATCTCCTTACCATTCGGAGAATAGCAAAAAAATGAAGTTAATTTGAATTGCGTGTTTTTGTTTTGAAATATCAAGCGGTGTGATTAATTAGATGAGATTAGATCTGACGGCGCTG